GGAGATTTATATCTGGACTCCAAATATGGCTGCTCACGTTTTCATGTTCGTTTGTCTTTTGAAGCACCGGAGGTGCGTTAGACGCTAGTTTTGTTTAATTGCGTTATACTTCGAAGCGGTCGTGTATTCTTAATGCACGGATCCTTAAACTATCGAGTCAATAAATTAATACACTTGTACTGTGCTAATTCAAGGTTTTGAATATGGTTGATGAAGTCTTTTGTCCTCAAAAAAAGTACCAGCCATGATTTGTGTGATTGTAAGTTATTATAACAGTTGAAGATAATGGAGTTTTGTCTTGTTCCATTCTTTAGTCAGTAGTTTTTTTTTAGAACTGAATGAGGAGGCGAAAAACAATTCACAGCTATCGTTATGTGCCATGCAAATTAACAATCATCGAAGCTCGCACAGGAAAGAGTATACAAATTCTGTCATCACAATGAAAATTATGCCTGTTTCCTATATAACAAACAGGCGCCGGATAAGATTTTGGATGCCTTTACCTACTCGACAACGCGCCCTTTATGTTCTAGGTGTAATTGGATGTTTTCATTTACTGATTCAAACTATAGCTCGAGTATATCTTTATTTCAATCCGTTTTCTCCGTACGTTGCAGCTGTTAATGTGCTGAGCACTTACTGTTATATCTCCAACAATGAGCAGAGGAAATACGACGAAGAATCCTATCAAAAAGTTATTAAGAGTGCTCAGTATGAATTCGAATCATACGCGACTCTTTATTCGTCAAATGTATGCTATTCAGCTAACCAGGACCCTTCAAGGTTAAAAGAATCTAATCTATTTAGCTGTTTTCTTCTAATAATTTTAATTCGAATACATACTTATTAAACACAATTGGCTCTTTTGTGTTGCATCGCTAAATTCCTAAAGTTTTTCGTTTCCATGTTTATTTCGTAAAATTTAAATTATCAGCCTATTTTCCAGTTTGCAAGTCGAGCCTCAAAATTTGACTTCTTAAGGTACGAGATATGACAGTTCATAAAATAAATGAACATAATGAGTACTCTTATGTAGGTCTTGGTGATTTTTTTGTTATATAGGTCTTATTAAACATACTGGGCGACATTGAAAACGCTTCATCAACAATTTCGCTTAAATCTTTCCTCAAAATAAAACGGTTTAAAAAAACGGGAAATCTTACAGACAAGCGCTTTTAAAGCAAATTTGTTACATTTCAGCAACTGTTTTGCATTTGAATTTTTACTAAATTCGAATTTCTTTACAAGCTTGAAAACAAATTAAGCCTGAGGTTAACCAGAAAAAACCCATTTTTAATCCAACGAGAAGAGGAATGTTTAGGGCTTTACCTTCGGTTTTTTCCGGTTTTTGACCGTAAAAAGGCAATGATTTTCCAGAACTGTTAATGGATCAAGGTATTAAGTCAGTTCCAATGAAAACTTAGATAATACATAGACCTTTTTTTAACGTTTTTTTGCCTAATTTTTTTTTCTAGAGCTCAATTTTAAGGCAAATTGTCAAATTTTGTTGCTATCTATCACATGAAGCATATGCTTTTTTGCAAATTTTCAAATCATTCACTTTAAATTTTTTGGTTCATTGAGAGTTTGCTGTTGCGTTTTCAATGTCGCCCAGTATAGGACTTGTCTCAGGAAAAAGTTGACGCTCAATTTTGATTTTTCGCGGTTTGACTTGATTTATCTTTATTTATCTTTTTTCAAAAACGTCATATCACTTCATTTACTTTTTTCAAAGGAAGCCAACTCCACTATCGAACAGCATAAATGACAAAAAACGTGATCGACTTTCAATTTCAAAAACAGATGTTCAGTTTTCTCAGCGGAATAAATAATTTACTTATTCATCCAGTGTTGTCATATGGGGTTAATTTTATCAAAAAGTACCAATCATAAATTGTTCTTGAAGTCCAAAGAGGGTCAGATTTTTTTCTCAAGCAGTTTCAGTAAATGGCTCATTGTAATCAAAGCGGATCAGAAAGACCCAATTTTTTTTCAGTTGCTGTAAAAATGTCGGGGTTTAAATTTTTATTTTTATATCATCTATTATATATTTAAATGCGGGCTTCTTTATCTCGCCATGTTTAAGCTTTTCAACTTATTGTTTTTGCATGTTTAACGGAAGAATTTTTTCTCGTTTAAGCTATATCGTATATTGCAACGGTTAAGATTTTTTCGATTTTCCTGTTTGAATTCAGTGTTTGTTTCACCAAGTCTGAAATTAGCAACCCAATAATGGGATTCTGTCAGGGTTTCCCCGGGTGTTGCAATTTTGGCCTCCATATTTGAATAACCAAATCTTGAGTTTATGAAAATTCTCAACCCTGTAGTTGGGGCTGTCAGGGTACTCCCAGGGGTTGCGAATCTTGCCTCCAAATATGATTTCTCAAATCCTTGTAGTTTTCGAGATATGATGTGTTTTGTGATTTCTTTTTAATTTTTCAGAAAACTTAGATTTTAAAAAATTCAAAGGATTTGAAGTTCTCAGCCTTGTAGTTGGGTACTGTAAGGGTGCTCTCAGGAGTTTCATGTTGCGAATGTTGCGTCCGAATGCGACTGCTCAAATGCTTTTAGATTCCGAGATAAGACGTTTTTAATGTCTTTTTTAATATTCAAAGAACTTAGATATAAAAATTTTCTTAAAATTTGAAATTCCCATTTCTATAATGAGGCTTTGTCAGGGTACTAATAGGGGTTGCGATTTTTTCATTCGAATATTAGTGCTGAAATGGTCGCAGTTTTCGAGATATGACGTTTTTTGTGATTTTATTTCAGAAAGTTTTTTTTTCATAAAAACTAAATTTATTTTTTTTTCACAATTTGGAAATTCTTAATCTGAAGTAAGGGGCTGTCAGAGAACTCTCAGGGTTGCAAATCTCGCCTCCAGATATGAGTGCTTAAATTTTTTGTAGTTTTCGAGATATGGCGATTTTAAAAATTGTCCACGAACTTGGCTATAAAAAAATTTCACGAAATTCTATGGTTTTTCAAAATTTGCAAAAAAAAACTTGAGTAACTTTACAAAATTTGAAATTACCAACCCTGTAGTAAATTCGAAGCACCGAAGGTGCGTTTCACTTGAGTTCATTGTATAAAATCTTGAAAGCTGTTGGATACCCCCAGCCTATTTTTGCGTTTGCTTTTAATGTCTCTTCTTTATATGTTTTGGGAAGTGATTTCCACGTTCAATGAAGTTTTTGAAGCACCGTAGTTATAATTTGCGCGCTAATTATCAAACCAAAGAAAATGATAAAGCAAGATGTTTTTTTTTGCGCCTATGTTAACAGAAAATCAGTCGATAAATGACCTTTGTTGCAACCAGGCTACTCAATTTTTTGTTGATTTGTTACGCCATATTTGTCTGTTTGTTACAGGTCAATATTTTCCTTTGAAAGAGCTCTCATGGCACCTCTGATTAAAGCAACCTTAGAATACCATGGACTGTCACCACTTACAACCGAAGTAACAGATGTGGTGGCTGAGCCGTTTGACGGCTTCGGAAATTTATATCATCTCTTAGTCCAGAGGTCAAACGGACTGTTAAAGCTATCAACATTCCTGCCAGCAGCATCTCCAGAGTACCTGCCATCAACTTACTCATCAAGGCTAGAACACGTCAATCTTATTGTAGCCTACTCGAATGAGCCAAAACGTCTGGAAGTGTTTCTCAACTTCTTGAGGAGCCTCATGAATATTGACCAGAACTTTTCAGTTGTACTGGTAAATTTCGTCAGTAAAATGGCGGATAGAATGACAGTAGAGAATAAAATATTTACGCTAATTGGCGAAGTTCTCCCAAATCAGGAATTAAGAAACAGAGTTCAAATCATATCGCTTGTTGGACCTTTTTCAAGAGGACGTGGACTGAATACAGGAGCGAGAAAAGCTAAGTGCCCCACATCTGAGCATTCCGAAACGGGTTGTACATTATTCTTCAGTGACATTGACGTGACTTTCACAACCGAGACTTTAAACAGGTGTCGACTGCTTTCGGAAAAGGGAAAAAGCGCTTATTTCCCCATGGTATTTAGCCAGTACAATCCAGATTTGTCTAAAATTCATTTGACCAAATTTGAGCTGTACTTGAGCAAAGATTCAGGTTTGTGGCGCAACTTTGGATTCGGAATGTCGTGTATAGAGTCCTCGGATTTCAAAGAACGCGTTTCGTTTCCTGAGTATAACCAGTGGGGTTACGAAGACGAGCAATTTCATTCCAAGGTCAGGTCTGCAGGCTTGACAGTTTACAGGGTACCTGATCCAGGACTTATACATGCGTATCATTCCAAAAACTGTTCCAGTGCGGCAAGCAAGTTTGCATGTTATAAGTCACAGGCCTTGACTGAAGGAAGTTCACAACAACTTGGATTGGAATTGTTCAAATTGAAGGAGAGATGTCCTGCCACTTGAAATATCTAGAGGGACGAAATTAATTGACAATCTTAACCTTACCTGTATATAAATCCTTAGATCTATTTATTTACGCTTGCGATCGGCAAGTAATATCAAATCGGAATATATTCTTTTTTCAGGTTATAAACTAGTTTACTAAAATCAGTTGAATATTTTGGGCCAGGAGTTGGCGTCGGTTCCGATGGAATGCCTCACCTCACCAACAGATCTTTTTGAGCTGTTTCGTATTTTAATTTGCAGCTCTTTTCATTTTTTTCTTCAAATGTTGGTTGTAAATCAACTTTTTTTAATTAAGAACCGATGAATGCAGTGAAGACTCTTTTATGTCTTCATTATTTATTTATTTTTTTTGAAAATAAAATTTTGTTCACGCTCAACAAATTTTTCCCGGTTTGATTTTCTCTAGTTCAGTTGATTTCTTTTGTTTAAAGAAGGTAAAATCCACTATCGAACAGCAAAAGAATAAAGGTCACATAAAACGTGATCGACTTCTAATTTCTTTTGTGGATTTTAATTTTCAGATTTTCAAGCTAAATAAAAGTTTTAACTATTTTATCAAAACAAAGTGGCAATCGTCAATTGTTTGTCTTCCCAAGTACTTTCTGCTGGCTACCGCTTGATAAATTTGTTTCAGTACTAAAATAACATGGGCTGTTTTGGTTTTCGGCATCTGTTTCCTCGAATTGAACGCATTCGATACAAACGTGGAAAAGTTTTCGATTTTTAAAAAGTATATGATTCCAACCAGCGGCTTCCGTCTTTTTTTGCTATATAAGTTTCTGCTAACTTTGTATTGTATCGCAAGTAGTGCGAAGCGAAGCTTTGCCTCTGTGTTCTATTATCCATCATTTCCCACACTTAATTTTTGGCTGCATTAGTCACGATCTTCTTGCATTATGATCTTCATTGAGATGTTGAGCGTTCTTCGGCAAAATCTTTTCGTATTCTTCAAGCAAGCTGTTCTTTAATCCCTTTTATTTATTGGCTTTCATTAACCCAGTAAAGCAAATAACTATCAATTCAGTGCTGTAAATTCAGAATGACCTCACTTGAAAATTCAGCTGCGTTGCGTTATGCAATTGCTCTAAATTCAAACAAGTTTTTTGGATTAAAAAAAATGACCAATATAAAGAGTAATAGAATTGAGAACATTTTCACAGTTATTTGCTTATCCAATTCACACTGAGCATATTGATGATATGAGTTTTGCTTTCTTACCAGTCTTAAATTTTCTGATGCGCTGGAGCTTGAAATATGATATATACATATATTATTCACTCCCTTGCATTTTTGAACTTCTGTACTATTTTCAGCGTCATTAATCATTTTCTCGTTGAAGTCACCATTTCTTAAATTAAATTTAGATAGTTTCTTCAGTTCATTGGTTCAGAGTTGGTGCTTATGGTCTCGTGCAATCCACTTTTGTCAATCAAACTTCAAATTTTGTAAAATTAAAATAATAGAAATATAATTTTTTCAAGATTCAGCAGTCAGATCGAAAGAATGTATTCAGTGTGGTCTTTAATTTTGCGATTAGCAAGGATAATGCTGCCAGGGTACTAGACTTTTTTCACGTTAATAAAATGTTTATAGGAACCTTAACTGAGCGGAAAATTAGTCCAAATTTGGTATGATAAAGGTCATGCGTTTGACTCCAACCCGGTGCTGGTTTTTTGCAAAATGATTTTTTTTCCGAAAAATTCAATTGTCGTACTATCGTTTTCTGCTTATTTTTTTTGTTTTCCAAGCATGTAGTTATATCTATCTCTTATCTATCTATCTATATCTACAGTATATTTAAATGCGAGTGACAGCTATCTCCCATGTTCAAGCATAATAATTTTGCTTGTTTAACGAAAGAGTTTTTTCATGTTTAAGCTATATAATATATTGCAATGCTTAAGAAAATTTTTCTATTAGTTTTCCGCAAGGTCATTATTTTTCAGTAATTTTTGCGAGCCCAATTTAAGTCTGTCTGTCTGTATACCTGCTTTTTTAAATTAACTTGATTATGTCTGTCTACCCGTCTCCTAATTTTTTAACTTTCAGCTATCTATTATCTAATCTATTATATATTAAAATGCGCCATGACATTTTAAATTCCCAACCCTATGATGGGGCGCTCTCAGGGGTTGCAAATCTTGCCCCCGAGTATGACTTCTCAAATCGTTTTAGCTTCCGAGCGAGAGCTGACGTTTTCTAAATACATAATTTTCAAAAAATCTGTTTAAAAAATTCTCAAAATTGCAAGTTTAGCCTCAAACTTTGATTGCTCAAAACCTATCAGTTTCTGAAAAAATTCCGTTTTTGAGATTTTTCAAGATTTAGTTTTAGAAAAACTTGTCAAAGCTTGAAAGCCTAATCTCCACGTTGCCTGCTGTCACAGAACTCGGGCATGCACAACTGACTGCTTAACGCCTTTTACTTTCGGAGATGTGACGTTTTTTATAGTTTCAAAAAAGTACTTCTCAAAATTGTCGACCTATTAGGGGTTCATCTATTATATATTTAAATATGGGCTTCACTATCTCGCCATGTTCAGGCTTTCTCAACGTATTTTTTTGCATGTTCAATAAAAGATTTTTTTTTTCACATTTAATCTATATCGTTGGTATAATGCTATGGTTTTTTTTCGATTTTCCAGTTTAAATGAAGTTCTCATTTTATCAAATTTGAAATTAGCAACCTGATAGTGGGATTTTGTCAGAGTTTTCCCAGGTTTTGCGTTTCTGGAAAAATTAATTTTATGAAATTGCTTATTTTTTGAAATTCTCACCCTGTAGTTAGGGGCTGTCAGGGTACTCTCAGGGGTTGCGAGTCTTGGCTCTAAATCTCACTTCTCAAATCCTTGTAGTTTTCGAGATGACGTTTTTTTGGGATTTTTTTTTCAAAATTTTTGTTTCAGAAAACTTAGATATAATAAATTTCACAAAACTTGATATTCTCATCTGTCAAGGTACTCTCAGGAGTTGTGAAATTCGCCCCCAAATATGACTGCTCAAATTTTTGTAGTTACGACGTTTTTTTATGATTTTCTCCGAAGTTAAAAAAACTAAGATGTTAAAAAATTCCAAAACGTCGATGATCTCAATCCTGTTATTGGAGTCTGTGAGGGTAATCTCAGGGGTTGCAAATCCGTCCTATAATTATGAATGCCCAAATGTTTTTTTAGTTTAAGAGATAAGACGATTTTTATGATTTTTTTTGGAAATTAGAAAACTCAAATTTCAAAATATTTCCTTAAAGTGAAATTCTCAACCCTGTAGTTGTTTGCTGTCAGATACTTTCAGAGATTGCGAATATTGCCACCAAATAAGACTGTTGAAATCTTGGAAGTTTTGGAGATGTGAAATTCATTCTGGTTCTCAAAAAAAAACTTTTTTAGAAAACTTAAGATGAAGTTTTTCAAAATTTGAATTTCCCAACGTTGTAGTTGGGTACTAAAAGAGTACTCTCAAAAGTTGCAAATCTTGCGTTAAACTGCGACTGCTCATTAGCTTTTAGTTTCCCAGATGTGACGTTTCTTAGTTCTTTTTAAGTTTTTGAAGAACTATGAAACTTCACAAAATTTTATGGTTCTTCAAAATTTGTATAAAACTTTTTTAAAAAACTTTGCAAAATTTGTAATTACGAACCTTGTATTTGGGTACTGTCAGAGTACACTCAAAGAATGCAGATCTTATTTCCAATATATGCGGTTTATTATGAGTACCAGAGGTGCGTTAGATGCTAGTTTATATTTAAATGCATCTGCCTATTTTCCCATGTTAAGCTATACCATCTGTCTCACGTTTAAGCTTCCAGAAACGAACTAAGATGTGCATGTTAAAGCTATATCGTAGATTGCAATGCTTTTTTCGATTTTTTAGTTAATGAATGCTGCTGCCGATGTGTAAGGTTTAAGCTATGATGCCACAGGGGAAGACGTGGAGGACAGCGCACTGTACGATAGTATAAAAGTGGGAGTGATCCATCTACATAATGTAACGGGCGTTTTTCGCTTCATCTTTTTTTCATCGACTTTGAAATGGACGATCCTATGGCGGGGTGCTGCCAGGTTTAACCTTGCGAATGCAAATTGTGCCTTCAATTTGAAACCAAATACTTTGAAACTGCTCAAATACGTTTAGTTTACGAGATATGACAGTTTTCTTTTCATAAATTTTCAAAGCAACTTAAGGTCATAAAGCTTCACAAAATTCAAAATTCCTAGCCCGATAGTGCGGTGCTGCCAGTGTTCTCCCATGGGTTGCAAATCTTGCCTCCAAATACGACTGCTCAATTCTTAAATTTACGTGATATGATGTTTTTTAAATGAATTTTTCAAAGTTTTGAATGAACTTATATTTCAAAAACTTGACAAAATTTCAAATTCACAACCCTATAGTGGGTTACTGTCTGGGTTCTCCCAGCTGTCAGAAAAACCACATGTTTAAGCTTGCTCACATTCAAGCTATATCGCATCTTGTCATGATAAAGAATTTTTTTCAATGTTCTAGTTTGAAATCAGTGTTTGTTTTTCTTAGTTTGAAATAAACAACCCAATAGTGGGGTGCTGTCAGGGTGCTACCATGAGTTACAAAAAAAGTCTTCTTCAAATATCACAACTCAAATTCCTTAAGCGCACGAGATTTGAAAAAAATAATAATCTCACATTTTTAATTCCCAACCCTATGGTGGGGCGCTCTCAGGGGTTGCGACTCTTGCCCCCAAGTATGACTTCTCAAATCGTTTTAACTTCTGAGATATGACGTTTTCCAAATAAATAATTTTCAAAAATTTCAAAAAAAAATATAAATAATTTTCAAAAAATCTAGGTTTGAAAAATTTCTCTAAATTGCAAGTTTAGCCTCAAACTTTGATTGCTCAAAACCTATCAGTTTCTGAAAATATGCCGTTTTAAGATTTTTCAAAATTTAGTTTTAGAAAAACTTCTCAAAGTTTGAAAGCCTAATCTCCACGTTGCCTGCTGTCACAGAACTCGGGCCTGCACATTTGACTGCTTAACGCCTTTTACTTTCGGAGATGTGACGTTTTTTATAGTTTCAAAAAAGTACTTCTCAAAATTTTCGACCTATTAGGGGGTCATCTATTATATTTTTAAATGCGGGC